CCTGTAGATAAACCAGGTAGGATGAACACAAAGTTTGAACTTCACTCTGCACCACAGATTGTTTATAAAAATCTCAATAAGAGTTGACGGTAGATTGACGAGGTTAGTTTCCACCTCTGTGACAGTTCAGCCCAGCAGGTCTGCCGCCTCCTGCTCCTCCTCCTCCTCCTCCTCCTCCTCCTGTGTTTCTGTTATACAACGTCTGAAAACATAATCGGATTAACCCACAAAGAAAAATCTAAACTCCAGATATCAAACACTTTTCCTCTTTTATTTGCTTCTCGCCCCAGACCATGACTTTCGAGCACAACCACTCAGAGTCCATGAATGGCACGCCGTGGTTCCTCTTTGACTGCACCATCAATCTGGACGTGGACTACAAGCGCATGGCCCTCTTCCTGCTCTACCTCTTCATCTACATGGTGGGCCTGCTGGAGAACGCGCTGGTCGTGTGGGTGAACTGGAGCCGGCGCCACTCCGCCAACGGGGTTCTCTTCTGCGTCATCAATGTGAGCCTGTCAGACCTGATGGTGATTATGATCCTGCCCGTCTTCATCATGGAGGAGACCATGGACAAGGTTTGGCTGTGGGGCCGCTTCCTCTGCAAGGTCACACACCTCATCTACATGGTCAACTTTTACAGCAGCTCCTTCTTCTTGGCCTGCATGACCCTGGAGCGCTACATGTCCCTGACCAGGCCCTCGTCTCCGGCCATCTTCCCTGTGGTGGGCCGGCGGCGCTGGGTGCTCTGCGGAGGCCTGTGGCTCTTCTCTTTTTTCCTGGCCCTGATCGAGAACGTCCACGTGGACCTTCTGGAGTGGGACGAGCCCGGCTGCTACATGATGCCCGAGCACAACTACATCGAGTGGTTCGTGAGCGTGGCGTTCCTGTGCTTGATCTTCCAGTTCATAGGCCCCGCGGCCGTCATCATCACCTGCAACGTGCTGATTGCTCGAGCGGTTAAAACTGCCCCAGATGTGCAGGGCCGGCGGGACGTGTGGCTGGTGCACGTGTACTCCCTGGTCTTCATCATGTGCTGGCTGCCCTACCACCTGGTGAGGTTCCTGATGATCATCGACAACCTCGACCCCTACCTTTTCAGCTGCAACGGCATAGAGCTCCTCTACTTCTCCTACAGCGTGGTGCAGTGCCTGTCGCTTTTCCACTGCGTCGCCAACCCCATCCTCTACAACTTCCTCAGCCAGAGCTTCCGCAACAACCTGATAAACTCGGTGCTGAAACACATACCCAGAGAGATGACTGTGGGGCAGGTGGGAGCGGGAAACCAGGCAGGTGCTACCAACGGGGAAGGCGGCGGCGGCGGCGGCGGTCCGGGGAGGCAGCGCAAGTTGAGTAACGTCAGCACAAGCCAGTCTGATGTGGGATCGTAAGAGAGGAGCTGAGGATGTAGAGTCAAGAACAGAACTAGACCCAGTCTCTGAAAACCAGAGGCATCATCTCACTCTGGTCACAGACTCAGACATTTGTTACACAACAGACGAGTTCACTTTCCTCTTATAATCCACTTCCTGTTTTTTTTCATCATGTACCTGATCAGTTTTTAAAAAGGAGGAAGCAGGAAATGATTGATGTCTTTTTTTTTTTTTTTTCCTCAAAGCTGCTTCTGTCCCACAGGAAAACATGGCGGCACCAGGAATGTGTTTGTAAACCAGCCTGTCGAATGAGAGCCGTCCTCATGTTAACATCTCCGAGGACCAGTGTCTCATTTTAATAGCACACGACGGAGAAATGTTTCTGTGTCCGGCTGTTGTTGTCTTTGAGTTCTGTTCAAATGCAATAAAACTCCCTTCAACACTGTTTGTATCCATCTGAGCTGGAAAACCTGAGCGGCATCTCCAGGGTTTCTGCAGGTTGAAGTTAAATTTAAATTTTTTTTTCTATGTGAAGGTATGAAGGAATATTACAGTTACACTTCCTGATATTCGAAGATAAAGTAGAGGATGACACCACATTGACTCTCAAGAGAGACAGTAGTTTTCTTTACCAGTAGTTGTAATTGTTATTAGTTCCATGTTTGTAGTTTTATTACAGGATGTTAATACTGAGAAAGTACTATGACACAGAAACAAGCTAAACACGACGCCGCCAAAATATTTATCTGATAACAACATGAAGGAGGTTGTCCTAAATGGATATTAACATAATTAAAACCTACCTTAATGTATTTAATATGAGATGTACCTGCTGAGGAAATGTGCAATCAACACAGCAGCACATGGGGAAAATGTAGAAATAAAATATATTATACACAAGAACATCTTAAATATGAAAATATATACACAAGCCTGTTTTTCTAAATCTGCAATATAAAGACGGGTTGAATAGCTGAAATACACAATACGTGCAGCAGCCTTTCTCCATAAGTAATGTTTGACTGTTGAGTTTAGCTCAGTTTGTAAAAGACTCTTTAAGGTAAAGTTCAGATGTTTGAATTTGAGACGTTTGCAGAAACCCTGATGTTTTACTTCGTCAACCTGACGTCGGAGCAGCGAAAACGATTTGGGAGCTTTACGTGTTTATTTTACTGAGTTTGCTGTTCTCTGATTACATTTACTTCCATTTCTGTTTCCATCTGGAATGTGTCACATTCAACGTTTTGAACGATAAGAAGGCAGGCAGAGGAAAAGGGTCCACGGACGGCACAATGGCAGGAAGAGAAACAGGCTTTGAAAAGGGCAAAGGTCACGGGCCCCTGGAAACAGGAGGTTCACAATTCTAGATTTCTGCAAGTTAATCACTGAAATTCTGATGATGGGTGTTTTTTTGTGTCGCGGGGCATCGGAACAGGTCAAAACAAATCATTTAAAGGGGAGCAACAGTCCTACAGGCATTTATTATAAAAGAAAAACATTAAAAAAAATAGCACTGTCATCATAAATATGAGGTAAGACACAAATATCGTGTGATGGGCACTTAAATATCCACAACACGGAACACACACACGTGAATACAACACGTGACTAAATGTCATTTCCTGATTGATAAAGATCTGATTATAATCAGCATCAAAACAAACAAACATGTTCCAACGACAGATTCAATTCTCTGGGTTGTAAGTTTTTGCTCTGTGAAGTGAAAACATGAAACTTTAAAAGATTAAAAAAATCTGTGTGTGAAACTGTGAATATATTATAGGAAAATAATTTCTGTGCTACAACGAGTCGCTACTTTAATAATGAACTATCCATCACTGACATCACAAACTGGTCCTGATATAAAGACACAGACGTGTTTGGATTTAACATCAGAAGACGACTGCAGCACAGTCAACACAGACGTACGTTCTTTCACTGACACGCAGGACACGCTGCCACCAAGTGGCTGTTTGAGACACTGGACCTCGAACAGGTTGTCCAGTGAGCAGCACATGTCCACTACATTCTATGTCTAAGCAGAAATTCCAAATATTTTCAATATTTATTTATATTTGTGGGTTTCAGACTTCTGACATTTTTAAGATGCCTCATCGAGCCCTGAACAGCTGTGACAGATATTCTCACGAGCTATTGAGATTTTATCTAAGAAATCATGATTAGTTACTGTAATCTGCAGTATGTGGTCCACGGCAACCAGACACAGGGTCAGTGTCAGAGGGACAAGGGACGAGGACGGACGCACCCGGCCGACACCGAGCCGATCAGGTGTCCACAGTGGGCAGCGGTTCCTTCGAGTGATCATTGTACATGAAGGTCTGCTCGATGTTGAAGTCCGGCGGCAGGTGGTCCTTGTGCAGCTCCATGTGTGACGACACCAGCTTCAGTGTGGAGAAGTAAAGGCCGCAGACGGTGCAGCGGTACATGAGAGCGCCGGCGTGTGTCTTCAGGTGGCAGATCATGGTGGAGCGGCCTCTGAAGAAACGCAGACACACTTTGCACTGGTAGGGCTTTTCACCGGTGTGGATGCGGAGGTGGTAGGTGAACTCCCCCGAGTGGGCGAACCGTTTCCCGCAGTATCGGCACCGGTACCATTTCCCCCGAACCGCCGCCGCTCCGACTCCTCCGTCCTGCCCCGAGATCCCGTTGGGCAGGAGCCCAGAGGACAAGCTATGGACTGGCGCCTGAAAATACTTGTCTGGCATGCTGAAGCCCATTCCCAGGCCCAAACCCAGGTTGCTCACTTTAACGAGGCCACTGACGTCCCGTGGAGAAGAGGCGGAGCAGGAAGATGGAGGACAGTCCAGAGACTGCTCCGCTTTACGTTTGCCCAACCAGCTTTGGCTCCCTGCACCTCCACCGCTCCCCGGGGACTCGTTGGTGTGCACGCTGAGGTGATACTGGAAAGCAGACGCTGAGCGGAAAGTCTGCGGGCAGAGGAAGCAGTGCAGCTCCTCCACGCCCGCCATGCCTCCCGCCCCGACTTCATCCTCCCTGACTCTGTAAGTCCTCAGCACCAATCGCTCCCTCTCCTTGGCTGCGGCCTCCTCCGCATGTGCAGTCATGTGTCTGTCCAGGAGGAGACGCTCTACGAAGCAGCGGCCGCAGTGCGGGCAGGTGAAGACGGGCAGTGAGAGGTGGGAGAGGGTGTGCCACAGCAGGGAGCACAGGGAGAGCTGAGGGAGGTGACACACTCCACAGCTCAGACTCTGAGGACACACGTGGTTCAGCAGGTGATCTTTGACGGTCTGACGGAGGGGAGACAGAGACATGAGGAGTAAGCTAGTTAAACAAAACACACTATAATGTCTCTCAGTGAATCTGCTTTACATCGTGTTCCACATTAATGTCCACTAACCTGGAAGTCCTTGCTGAGGGTTTTGGTGCACACGGCACACTGCAGCTCGGAGCTCAGGCCCTGGCCGCCGCCGCCGCTGGTGAGCGCCTCCTGTGGTATTGTGTAACCCGACGATTCCTGGTGGTGGTGACGCAGCAGTTTGCTCTGGCTGCAGAACTGCAGGTGGCACATGTCGCAGGTGAACAGCTGCACCCCAACGTGGGAGAGCGAGTGGGCGACGCCGACGGCACGGTCCGGGAACGAGGCCCCGCACACCCTGCAGAGCCCCAGCTCCGTCAGGTGGCTGTCTGCGTGTCGTCTGATGGCGGCCGGGTCCGGAGGGAGAGGCACCGCGCAGGCTTTACATGACAGCATGTCTCTTGTCACCTGGAGGAGCGGACAGCGTTACTCCTACTGACGAAACCCCCACGTCACAACCCTGCATGTCATTAACGTAACCTGGAACTGCTCTTTGTCCGCCCTCGCACATCTGGTTTCCCGTTGTGCTTCTGTCTTGTACAGTTTAACTCACACAGTGTTTATTAAACCTGTCTCTTGTAGTCTGTAGTACAAGTACACCGAGTGAAATTACACCAGAGTCAAAGTCTGTGTACACACACACGGCAAATAAAGCTGATTCTGATAAGTATTTGACCGCGACGGCCGTCTCCACTTGTCTGCGCCAGAGTAGACGGACAAAGAGACGTGTGTGATGTTGCCAGACTCTTGGCAAAGACCCAGAATCACAACTTGAGCCTTTTATTGGTGAATTTTCTTTGCGGTCGCCCCATCAGATTACATCGTCACGTAGATAAAACCACCGGACGGATTCTAAAAGTTTTAGTGAGTACCGTTAATTTACACACCAACATTTTTAAACAGAGGGTCCAGGTTTTAAAATATCTGAACTTGATGGGTTCAGCGGTTCGTGATGAATCTTGCTGGCGGAGGTGAGATATTCTATTGGAGCGGTTGCTTCTGTTCTACGACTGAGACTTTATAATTTACACCTTTAATCTGAAAATCTTTGTTCAAACATCACCTGGCTGCTTGAGTTGCCTCCGTCTCCGTTCTCCACACACACGAGGTCGTCCTCATCCTCGTCCTCATCCGCCTCCTCCATGAAGTTCTCGTCGTCGCTCAGCTCGATGATCTCACCCGCCAGCTGTCTCCACTGCTCCTCCTCCGTTCCCTCCACTGCTCCGTTACCTCGCAGAGCCGCCTCCCTCTGCTCCTCGCTCTCTCCATCCTCCGCCTCCCTAAACATCAGCCCGCCGTCCCTCTGCAGCTCCACCATCCTGACCTGCAGGCCGCCCAGAGGCTCCCCCGAGGACGACGTCGGGGCGCAGGCCTCCGCTACGAGCTGAGCTGAGGAGTCGGGGAAGGAGCAGGAAACGGAGGGTGCTGGGTTGCTGCTCCGAGGCAGAGAGACGCCTGAGCTCTCAGAAACCATCGGCCCGTCTCTGTTGCCTCGCTCACAGCTGCCTCCTGCCTCCTCCTCCTCCTCCTCCTCCTCCTCCAGCCCCTGCTCCGTCTTCAGCTGGAGCACAGGAGCAGGAGGCAGCAGGGCGTCACTCTGAGTGGAGCTGGTGCTGCCGGTTAAAAGATGTTCTCCTGGCAGTTGATGATCCGACGCCATCCGCCCGTAGCCGATATGAGACTGAACATCCTCGGCTTTGAGGTCCACAGTCAGAGCGGCGGAGTGAACCTCACGGCCGGCCCTGACCGCCCGGGCTTGGAAGAGAGGCGAGGGAGCGGCGGCAGGAGTCGGGGCAGCGGACGAAGACAGAGACGAGCAGGAGGCGGCTGACGAACACACAGACGACGCGGACACAGACGCCGCCGCGTTAACGACGGCCACCGTGGGAGCGGCCGGGTCCAGAGCGAGGTCTCCAGGACTGCTGGGTTTACAGTTCGACGACACGGACGCTTGCAGGTCGGGGAAGATGGCGTGACAGGCCCTGACCAGCTCCCTGACCCCGAGCCTCTCGGCCAGCTCGTACAGGACCCCGACGTCGATGAGGTCGGTCAGGATCTCCCCCGTGTAGACGAACGTCAGCACCTTCTCGAAGTTGGCCGGGGAGACGAACTCCAGCGAGAGGGTGGCGGTGGACGAGGTCGGCGCCCGGGCGAACAGCGTGCAGAAGTACGTCCCGGAGCACGCCAGCACCGCTCGGTGTGCGGCGAAGGTGCGGTTTCCCACTTGAAGGAACACGTCGCAGTAGCGGCGGGATTGGCGGCAGCGGTTGAGCTCGGCGAGGAGGCCGGCGGCGTGGCCGGGACCCTGCAGCCGGATCCTCATCCCTGCGGCTGCGCTTCTCCACAACTGCAGGTACGAGACCGAGGTTAGAACCGAACCAGGAGCCTTTGTGTCGTCATGGAAACAGATTCTAACTTCCTCACTGTGATCGTTAGAAAAAAATCTGCTGAATATTATTAATTAATTAATTAATCTACTCGACGTTCACAGACGAAACACAGACAGGTGAGTCAAACCTGAATCTATCCTCCTCTCCTTCATCTATCTCTCCTCTCCTTCATCTCTTCTTCATCTATCTCTCCTCTTCTTCATCTCTTCTTCATCTGTCCCTCCTCTCCCTCATCTCT